TCAGAAATCATCAGTTCTAGAAAGGAGGGGGTAAATACATCAGAATTCTGTAGGTCTTCATCCCGGAATTCCATACCCAGCCAGACTATTAAGTCCGTGTGTGCCAAGATACAGACATTCTCACTTGTGCAAGGACTAAAGACATTTATCTCACAGGTCCCCAACATCATGGGAGAGTACCCAGAGTAAATCCCGCAAGATAGTCCTCATCACAGCTGTGAAGCGGGACTGAGAGAGCATCAGAGAACAGTAGAGATTGTGTCCTGGAGACCCGGCAGATGTGATGGATGCACACAGTGTGCCAGGGAAAAGGGATCCTGCTTCTCTCTGCTGGGGATTTCGCACCTCTGGCTCCCTGCTCCCTCAGACACCCAGCTCTGCGTGACCACGGAAAGCACTCAGTAACGCTGGGTCAATGAATGAGACCCAGGCCCAGAGAGAGGTACGCTTTCCATACACAGCTTCACGGGGCTTCCTGCTCCAAGGGCATCAGAAACGGAAGCAAGAAGTCTCAAGCACCTCACCACACCCTCCAGAATGCCTGTGATCCCAGCCACTGCCGGGGTCACCAGTCAGGCCCCTGGAAGTAGCAGTGACAGGCGGACAGTCTGGTAGCCAGGAGGAAATGAGACAAGACACAGAGCACATGTGGTTCAGGCTTTACTGGGGATCAGGTAGGCCTCGTGCAGGGACCACGCTGGGAACCGGGGCCTACAAGCCAGGCAAAGCGGATCCTCGGGCCCTGCTGGGACAGCTCAGGACTCAGCTGCACAGGCACAACCGCTCACAGGAAGGAAGTCACGGTGGCCTTAGAGCAGGGAAGGGGAAAGGTGGGAGGGGACCTTGCTGAAGGAAAGTGGGAAGCTGACGCTTCAGAGGGCCTGGACGGGACAGGGCTTAGGGGAAGCAAAAAGCGCCAATGAGGCCTTGGAGAGAAGGGAATGAAAAGGGCAGAGGGACGAGAAGGCCGCAACTCGGGTGCAGAGAGTCTGCGGCTCTCCAGGGGTCCAGGCAGCAGGCTGAGCACGGGCTCCTCACTGCCATCTCTGGGCCTTACCAGGCCCTACTTGTTGCCCCAGAAGGCCATCTTTGTGTACACAGGCGTTGGGAGGTAGCGGCCGGACTTCATGTAGGCAGAGATCTTCTTCAGGCCCTGAGAGGGGGAAA